CAGCAAGAACCCCAGACCGAGGGATCAAAAGAAAGACGGAAAGAGTCACAAGTCAAAACCAGGCAATTCACATACAGGCGCACGCAAGCCGTTGAAGCGGCGGCCCACCTCGGATGACGAAGATGATGATGTCGGTGGCCCAAGGGATCCAAAGAAGCCCACCTTCATGGCGACAAAGGTCTCCGGAGAAGATGTTAATAAAGCATTTGGAAAGGACGTTGAAGGCAACTTCGCCCTATTCGACCACATCCCCACATTGATGGCTACAAAAACCCTATCGATCCGTGACGCATGGATCGTCGATAGTGGATGTGCTCAGCACGTCTGCAATAACGCCTCGAGATTTGTAAAGATGGACAAGTACCATGGACCACCACTGAGAAGCGTCGATACCTCCACGACTCCCTCGGGAGTGGAGACAGCCAATGTTCTGTGCAATGTACGAGGCAGAAGGAAATGGCTTGTGCTTGACAATGTCCTCTACGTCCCATCGGCACATGCAAACCTCATATCGGTGCTCCAGCTTCTCAAACGAGGAGCAAAAGTCGAATTCTCAAGCCAAAGTGCTAGTATTCGCAACAAGTCAAACGCAAAGAACCTATACACTGCCAGCCAATATCATGGAGTCTACGCACTTGATCTATGGACGAATCTCACCTTTCCCTCTTACCATGTCGGTCCACAAATGGCTCTTTGGCATAATCGGCTGGCTCACCTGAGCGATGCGAACCTACATCGGCTTAAGAAGCAGGCCTTCGGCATCCGGGACATGGAACCACGTCAACCATGCAACCCATGCCTCCAGGGACGAATGATTGAAAAGCCCCACAAACGCTCGAGACGAAGCAGACGAGGGGAACATGCAATGGAACTTCTCCATATTGATGTCGCAGGACCATTTGACGAGGGCCTTGACGGCAGTCGCTATTGGCTCACCGTCGTCGACGACTTCACGGGGTGGATAGAGATTATCACTATACCACGACGACAAGAATTTGTCATAGAGTCACTACGTTTCTTCCTCGATCATAACGAACGCCCTGAACGGAAGTGCAGACGAATACGCCTCGACCGAATCCCTGAGCAAGTGGGAGAAGAGATGAAGTTCATACTGTTCTCACGGGCAATCCATGCCGAGGTCACAGGGGTTGATCAACACCAGCAGAATGGGGTTGCCGAGAGAGCCCATAAGACAATTTATGATCGGGTTGGACCTACGCTAGCACATGCGAGACTACCACCTAAATTCTGGCCGGAAATTGCTCGAACCGCAGCCTTCCTCTCCAACCGGTCGCCGTCATCAAAGCTCAACATGACTCCGTATCAAGCCTGGTACGGCGACAAGCCGGACCTATCACGACTCAGAGTGATCGGATCCAAAGGGGAATACTTGATCCCACCCAAGCAGAGGAAGAAGCTCACAGAGCCAAGAACCAGGCCATGCATTCTACTAGGCTATGAGGGAGATACCAACTACCGTATCCTGCTGGAAGACGGAAGAATCGTTGGGACCCCAAACGCTGAATTTCACGAAGTCCTTACAGCTCCTTCCACACAGACTATAGAAGATGTGGGAGCCAGACGAGACGGCTCACCTGGGGCAACGGCTGCTGCCGCAGGGGGGAGTAAGACGGTGGGACTAATAAATCAACCGTCGGTAGGCATACGGCAAGCGTCCGTGCCCGCCTCTGGGCGCCAGTTGTCGATGGCACCACCAGAGCGAGCCCTACCTAAGTCGAGGAACGATATCTCGCACATACTGCCTCGATCGAGTAACGATAACTCGCGAGTGCTAACCCAGTCGAGTGACGAGGACTCGCAGACACCAGCGTCGTCTCAATCGAGTGACGATGACTCGCAGCCATCTGTTGCTGTACAGGGAGACAGGACCTTGTCGCCTACACGGAGTGATGATACCTTTGGATCATTTGTAGGTGATTTACAAGACATCATCCAGAGGAATGACTCACCACCCGGCGGCGACCAGCAACAAGACGACGCTCAACAAGGTCTAGTTTCAGGAGAATGGCAACGATCTCCAGAACTCCAAATTGACCGCCCAGTTCATGAAGTGCGACAAGAAGCACTGGCGCACCACCCTGAACTCAGAATTCGCGCTCCGCACGTCACACTAAACACATCTAGTGACAGCGAAGAAGAGCTTGCGTTAATGAATATACCTGAAGAGAACGTCATCCCAACATTCTTAACAGTAGCTGCAAAGGAAACAGAACCTTTTGAGCCAAAGACTCTGCATCAAGCCAAGAACGACGCAAGCTGGCTCCAATGGGAAAGAGCAATGCTTGAAGAAGTGAACTCGCTCAACCAAAACAAAACGTGGGAGCTTGTTGACCCTCCCAAAGATCGGCGGATCCTCAGTGGAAAATGGGTCTTCAAACTCAAACGAGGACCGCATGGCGAAGTCATCCGTCACAAGAGCCGATGGGTAGTGAGAGGCTTTACACAAGAAGAGGGTATTGACTATGACGAAACCTTTGCCTCGGTCGTCAAGCCAATGAGCTATAAAGCTCTATTCGCAATCGCGGCGGCCCTAGATTTAGAGATCGAGCAAATGGATGTCAAAACGGCGTTCCTGTACGGCTACATAGATCATGAGATCTACGTCGAACAACCTCACCACATGACCGACGGCACATCAAGGGTCTGCAAGCTTCGAAAAGCACTCTATGGCCTAAAACAAGCTCCTCGGATCTGGTATCAGACCCTTACAAATTTCCTACGGAATCTTGGTTTCGAGCCAATTAGCTCTGATCTTGGGGTCTTCGTCCGGAGCAATATGTACATCGCGGTGTACGTCGATGACCTCCTGATCGTAGGACCGAGCATTGCAGAAATAAAGAAGATCAAGCGGAGCCTCAGAAACCGTTTTCAAATGACAGATCTCGGACCGTGTAGCTACTACCTCGGGATGTGCGCCCAGCGGGACCGTCAAAACAGGACACTGTACCTAAGTCAAGAAGCATATATTGACAAGATCGCTCATCAGTTCGAAATCAGCAACAGCGCTCCCATCAGCACGCCGATAGAAACCTCGCCACTTCCAGAGAATAGTCCAGAATACAGATGCCCTCCAGATCAAAGAACCACCTACCAACGCATTGTCGGATCTCTGATGTATATTATGCTTGGAACCAGGGGGGATGTCGCATATGCTGTCTCCATGGCGAGCAGGTATCTAGCAAATCCTGGACCACAACACATGAAACTAGCTCGACGCATCCTGCGATATCTCAACGGCACAAAATGCCTCAGGCTCACGTACAAGGGTCATCCCCAGATGCTGAAAGGCTTTACAGACGCAGACTGGGGTGGATGTCGCGACACTAGACGTTCAACAGCTGGATACCTTTTCAATATCGGGAGTGGAGCAATCAGTTGGCAGTCGAAGCGCCAAAGCGTCGTTGCCCTCTCGACCTGTGAAGCTGAATTCTTAGGCCAGACACAAGCAACCAAGGAAGCAATCTGGTTGAGAAGACTTCTCAATGAGTTAAACATGAGACAAGGAAAAACCGCCACGATCATTTTTGGTGACAACCAAGGAGCCATCGCCCTGTCCTCGAACCCGCAATACCATTCCCGCACGAAGCATATGGAAATCCAACGCAAGTGGCAAGGAGAGGTTCAAGACCTTGGAACAGTGGAGCTGAAATACATTCCAACTACCGAGCAAATTGCTGATGGGTTCACGAAGCCTCTTGCGCGAGAACGATTTGAATGGTTTCGCAGAGGGCTTGGCATTGAATGACACCTCGCCGCTTCCAGATCTCGGGCAGAGGCCGTTCGGGTACCCTTTCCTTCCTTTTCCTTTGAAAGGTTTTTTGAAGGTTTTACTGGGGCCCGTCCCAACCGTGATGGATGGTCGCTGGCACTCTTGGTGGTGGTTGCCATCGAGTGGGAGTGTTGAGTATCACGGTGGCTGAACCTGATGGCAGGGATTAGGAACAGATATATATGAGACATCCCGCCCCTGTTAAAGATAACTCCTTAAGTCAATCAGAATCAATCAGACAATCACTTATCTCAACAGCATGAACATATAAATAAATCATGTTTATTCATAATATACTGAGTCAGCCTACATTACCGTTTATGTTGCTACATCTCGACACAGAAACCGAAAATTCCATGCTCTTTTCCCTTGGCACCCATCCTGCTGCAGAACGACTATCGAGAATTGCTAGAACATTACGTCCAAGATGGCACAGAGCTATCCCCACCAAAGTTACACTTCATTTATGATATGACAAAGCCAGTCAATAACCACGTCTCAAATCTCAAGATCTTGATTTTGGTCCTTTCTGGGAGCCAGCGATCAGTCTCTATACTTCGATCATACTAGCTTTCACCCTGCGAACTATATATCTAGACTGCGGAATTGCCCATCGATGGACATTGATTAAGTGCCTATTGTCCATAATATGTCAGGGCGCTGACCACGTTTCATCTACTCTTACGCCGATAACTCGGTTGACAGCAATCATCTTTTTTCATTCGCTTGACTGCTTCCACCCGGTGTTACTCCCGCTGACTGCAACTACGCGTGTACCGCTTCCCTATGTCTCATTCCCTATTCTATTCCATTCACACTATTCCTTGCCATGAGCCTGTTCCGTTCGTGTATATTAGTTGGCCAGTTGGTCCGGCGTTTCTCATTTGTCCTTCCCCATTTTGAAGATTCTCGTTTATCGCTGTCTATCAGGCTCATTGAACTTCCTCCGCGACCTCCAAGTCGAATCCGGAACACACAGCTCGGTGGTATGCGTAGCTTGTGGTAGAGTACGTTATTCTAACGTTTTCAATAACTTTATATAGGCTGAAGCCTGTGCACCAAAATATCCTATCGTTGATTTTGGTTCAGTTACATGGTTTTCATGTGATTAAATCAGCCAAAGATTCGAGACCACTGATGTCATAGCAGACGTTGTAACGTAGTACAGTACAAACATATTTTTCCCCAACATAGACCAAAGTATATTTTTCTACTCATCATCCCCATCGTCCTCATTGGCAATCCTGCTCACTTCATCATACATCTCCTTTAAAGAATTAGCACCTCGCTCCTGCACCTTGAGAAGTTTGTCCTTGTTGTCAGGACATTTGTCGCCGAGAAGCCTGGCAAGCTTAGCTTCCTTCTGATTCTATACATCTGGGTTAATACACGAATTATCTCCATCTCGGGGTATACATACCCTTCCCCAGGTGACTTGGAGACGATGCTCAGTGAGGCCGATGTGGGCGTATTCGTTTTTAAACTTGGAATTCAAGATATTTTTGAACGTCGGAGTGATTCCAATGATACTTTGAGAAATTTGATCATATAATTTGGTCTCATGGTCGCATTCTTGTTGACCTTGTTGATCACCACCATAATAACCATATCCATTATCGACCAGATAGGCCCAGTCACGGAGACCGTCCATTGACCCTTGAAATTGCGTGCGTAGCTGATCTTTCTATATATACTCGGTTAGAGGGATCAACGATCGTCCATTGCACAACTTACTATTTTGGCCAGATCCTTGTAGTTGCCAGTGTCCATATCCTCGGCAGTCTGCACGGCCGATTGGATAGTGCTAACAACAAGCCTTGCTGTTTTGTAAGGTGAGTCATTTACGCCCACGGCATCGACTCCAAGTGCTGAAAGGGCAAGGAGTAGGGTGGGAGTGAATAACTTCATTTCGCCGTTTGTCAAGATGGGAAGGTATGTGCGAAGATTGAAAAGAAGAACGAAGCCACGGAGGGATTGATCTGATTTATATCCTCAGGGAGAGGGGGAGGGGGTTACATCATTCGTAAGACCACTTACTAGTAGTCAATGGGGCATCAACAAACAGAATACATACTGGTCAGAAAAATGTCGGAGCTGATTGTGTTTCATTGATCAGATCCCAGTAAATAAGGAGGCGATTGTTCCCACTAGAGGATCTAGGGTATATAGAATGAGATCAGTTACTAATTCACTGGGATCGATCGATCCAGCACGAGTAGAGCAGATGTGTTCAGAGGCTGTTGTGAAGCTAGTGTATTCGCCTCCATATTCTCCAGATCTAAATCCCATTGAGGAGACTTTTACTGAACTAAAATCCTTCATTCGGCGGTATTGGCAGACTTACGAAGATAATCCGATCAAGGAATCGATAACTTCCTTGAATGGCATGTCGACGTGCTGGGACCAAGGGCTGAAAGCGCGCAGAGCGCTTCCGGTACGCAGGACTGACCGTCGAGGAAATACAGCGCAGTTGCATGTGGCGATATCAGATCGCAAAATCCTATGTATGCCTATTGGTTTGGATATAAAAATAATCCATCCGAAGATCGGGGATCGGTTCCAGGAGTTGATCGGCTCCCGGCGTCAATCAGCCAGGTCATCATGGATATATGTAATGGTCTGCATCCTTGGCATCGATAGTCTCCTCGAATCGGGAAACCTCGGTTATGGATCAGATCGACAGTATTGACGAGATGAACATTCCCGTAATCGCCATGAAATTTGGCTCCTCAGTGGACAACCATACTAGTATGCCTGCGGCATAGTAAACCGGGTCCCAAGCATGTATTTAAAGAGCTTTTCTTCCAGGTTTTACCTTGATTAGACAAATTTACTTATTTGATTCTCACCCATACCTTTCCGTTCAGTAGATTAAGATAGCTGCTTCATGCTGCATTATTCTAGCCTGCTAGTCTAATTCAACATCCTAGACCTCATTGTATGGTTGGCGTAACATGCGCACTACTTGTAATTTAATGGCCAATATATATTTCTACTTCCAGATAATATGTTATCGACGACTCCTGCCACCATCGCCCATCGCGACATTTGGATAGTTTAAAGCCTGGTAAGATGCAATTTCAAACTCACGTTCTACACGACACAATCAAGTTTCCTGAAATTTTTATGCGATGATATATGAATATAACCGGGAACATTGGGTTGACCCTTGCAAACCAAACCAGTTTTAGATAACCGTAATTTATTAATATGAATCAGCAAATTTATGCAGTTTGGCATGGCCTAATTAAGTCAGTTATGCAAATTGGTTTTTTAGCGGTTGACCGCGGTCTAACCATGCGGTTTTGCGGTGCGGTGCGGTTGGCATTCTACCTATTGAAGTGGGAAGAGCGCGCTGGCGGTCTGACATCGCAGACAAGACGATAGGGGTGTTCAGTGCCCGACGGGGGTCATCGGTAGGAAGCAGGGGCCCATGAATAGGCAAAGTAATGAAGAATCTTCCGTATTGTGAGAGTTGTAAGATGTCTTGAACTGCTATGCTATAGAAACGAGCACTAGAAATACCCTTGCTGACCGCTGTGGCGCAGGTGAGAAGTGGCGCGGTTTCCCCATTACAATAGATAGATTGAATCTCTGTTTTCCAAGTCATTTGTATTCTGAAATGATGGCCTCTTCAATTACAACCAAGAACAACCATTTATACTTTCCTATCCCAACCGACAGACCAAATTCAAATTCAACCTCCCAAGTATTCAGGCCTGACCTTTGTGGACTCGAGCCAAGTTGACTAGCCATCAACGGTCGATGAATGCCCATCCACAGTGTCAGAAGTCGTATTTTCATGATTGCTTTTTTTCGTGCTGTGAATGGAGTTGAATGCTGGGCTAGGATGAATGGCCATGTCGTCCAGGATCGCCTTTGCTTCTCGAGCCGAACCAGCCCTTAAAGAACCTAACACATCTTTGCAAATCAGATTGAGGATATGGGCAAGGCAAGGAATGAAGCTCGGTCGTCCGCGGAATCGCATTAGAGGTTTAATGCGAAAGCGGTCATCGTCATTATCATACTTCTTGAGGAGCTGGTCATGGAGGCTATTGCAGAGCGTCCCGTCATTGCCCGCATTGTCTCCTGTGATGGTCAGGAGCTTTGGCGCGATTTCCAGTTCGGCGAGCATCTTCAACACAACTTCCGCTGGATTCTCTCCAGAATGTGGTCCATTTCGATCTCGGTGAACTCGAGAAGTTCATCTCGCTTTTCGAAATCGGGGGTGATCCGATGGCCAAGGATACCCACTATCGCAATCTGATTTTCCGACGTCCAAACGTCAAGAGACAAAGCGAGTGAGCGGCTGCTCCTGGCAAGCTCCTCTTTCACGGAAGCCCTACTTGAATGGAATTCCTCTTTGATTTGGTTGAAAAGAGTATCAGCAGTCTTGATGGGCAAAGAAGCCCCCGTTGCTTCAATGAGTGCCCTGAAAGCCGGATGCTCCACCACTGTGAAAGGCTGTCTTGTTTGAATGACCCATCGGACTAGCATTTCTTCAACGCCAACCTTCTTTCTCGGCGACTCCAAGAACCGGTCGAGGCTTCCTTCGACCGCGGGTAAGAAGATGGAGTCGGCCCCAGACTTGATACGATGCTTTTTCTGGAGATGCACCAACAAATTCGAAGTGGAACCATAGCGCGACGAATCTCTGGAGGACCAGCTGCAATGTTTGCAAATCAGCAGTCGGTCTTTTTTCAGTGGGCCACCCTGCCGACACCAAGTGCTATCCAGATCTGTGGTCCAAAAGTGCTCAATGGTCCAACTAGAATACGACTTGGTTTTTCGTCTTTTATGTGGGTGCGGACTACTAGTATTGCTCCTGCTTTCCGAAAATGCAGGATCAAACGGGGAGGGGGAAGAGCTAAGCAAAGAATAAGACTGCTTCGTCCGAGGCGTGTCTTCGGTGTTCCTAGGTGGGGAAGGCTCAGGAGAGTAAGGGCGTCCTGTTTCAAAGGTGGATTCCTCAGACTGCTCCGAAGGTGACGAAACCAGGCCATTGTGTAGAGCATTATAGTCTCGACGTGGAAGACCACGCGTTCTCCGCATGGACGGATTAGGTGTAGATGCCATGCTACTGTTTCCTGGTATCAGTATATCAAAATGGTATCGACGGTGATGCATCACATACCTTGAGCTACCTGGGCTGGGGTTAGAAACTGATAGGGGACTTGAGGATAGGATGATGGTTGACAAGCCCAGTCATGTTCACGCTTTATATGCCCTTGTTGACGTGGAAAGTTGATAGATCTCTTTTCTGTTTTCTGCAACGCGACATTGACGATTCTGAACGTAAACAAATGCAGCCAGGGTCATTGGAGGCTCTGGGTCGTGGAGCAAACGCGTTTTTACGTGCCATTTCTCAAGGCTACTTTGTGCACCAAGTTTGGAGTGGATTGGAATAAAATCAGGGAACTGAGAAGAGCTATTCGTTTAATTGCCTAAGATGATTTGCAACTAGGTTGACAGATATATATAATATTAACGGATCTTCGTGGCCGGTGTCAAGTTTCTATGGACAGACCCACGTGAACGAGTATCATGTCTCAAAAAGATCCACTATGGTACATCAAGCTGGTCAACTCTACATAGGTAGGTTGTACCTCCCAGCATATATTCGCAATGGAAATTCATAGCTCAGCTTTGCTGATGAAGTGATGGTATTGTGAAATCTGACGAACTGAGAGAGTGGTCAAATACCACTAGGACCCTTTGGGACGCTTATTCATCGATCACCCAATTCCCACTAGTATTTGTACGGTATTCCGGGCAGATTCGGAAGGACGGTGTTGTAACACGCCGAAGCTTATTTGTATAGACCCCTGAGATCGTTCAACCGATCTTTAAACACCTACAATCAATCACCTGATTCTATTGGACATGTTCAGTACCAGCCAGTACATCAATTCCTCATCCTGACAGTTATGAGCCCGATCTGCCTGACTGTATAAAGGAGATATATCACCTACCTGCTCTGTATCTCGCAGTCAACGAATCCCCGAAGCACCCAACACGGTCGGATACCCCTGAACGCCCAGCCACCCCTTGTGAGCTCTTGCGTCCAGTGCACAGAAAATCCGGACCGACAAGCAGCCTTCGGAAACGTTTTATGAGGAGATTTTGAGTATCTGAGCTATATCTTGTGCGAAGATGTCCGATATCACGAGGGAAGATCTGATGCAAGTCCCGCTTGACCAGAAGCTTCAGTCGGAAGCGCAGTGGAGGGTCTGGATAGGCCATATCAAATCAGCGGCTGTTGCAGAAGATGTGTGGGATTACCTTGATCCTGAGAAGGCGGATGACGAAGTTCTGCAGGTGCCTGAGGCTCAGGAAGAGCCCTCGTTACCCCGGGATAACCGCCAGCGGGAGAGAGATATCATGGACCTAGAAGATGCGGAGCTCAAGAGATACACGTTCACTGTTCAAGCGTACGATCGCCGCGATCAGCGCAGACAGAGGTTATTAAAGACTATGTCACGATTAAACAGCCTCATCACCCGTTCGTTAGCCACGGATCATCACTACCTCGTCGTGGGCGAGGATTCACCGCGGAAGAAGTTGATGAAGCTATCCGAAACGTTTAAACCAAAGCCTCAGAATCGCCAGCAGCAACTTCGTCGTGCTTGGAGAGAGATGATCAGGCAGAGGCCTCAAGGGGATACTAACCACTGGTTGACCCAGTGGGTTAGCCTATTCGAAGAAGGCAAGATCGCGGGTATACCTGACTGCTCTAACGGAGACCATTTCGCGATACGAGACTTCTTGGACGCTATACAACCGGTTGATGATACTTGGTGCACAGCCTGGCGCGAAAAGCTCGCAGATCAGGAGAAATCTGTCACGTTTCATGAGGTTATAGCTAGCTACCGTAGCCGCCGGGGTGATCTCGCGATCTCCGGGGGACGGAAGCAGCCAAAGATAGCTCTGGCTTCGTTAAACGGTGAACCGGAGGCTAAGCCCGCGGAGAGGACCTACCGGAAGAAATGCCCGTGCGGTAACGCTCATCCTCAGCACCAGTACTCTACGTGCTTCTACCTCAATGAATCACTTCGACCGGAGGGCTGGAAGCCACGGGAGGGTACTCTTCAACGGATTCCTGAGTTTATCAAGCAGATGAGCCCTCAAGATCAAGAGAAGATCGCCAAAATACAGCAGAAGAAGGCTGAATCAGCTCACCTAGCTGGTACGGCACCGCCAGAGGGCCAGTCCCTAGCGTTCTTCGCTAACGATACTCGATCTATCGCTGCGTCAGAAGTGGACGATGAGCCACTCAAAGATAGCTGGATTCTTGATACCGGAGCCACCTGTCATATCTGCAACGATCTCGAGCAGTTCTTGACATACATGCCGCGAGAAAGCACCGTCAAGACCGGTCAAACAGTGACACCGATGATAGGCTATGGGCAGGTCAGGATCACCGGGAAACACCCTCGTACAGGCACTACGGTGTCTGTCACCCTAGACAACGTGTGGTACTCGCCCGGCTTCCATACAAGCTTGATCTCACTCTCTGTGATTGAGGATAAGGGCTTCTGCTTTAAATCTGATGAAAGAGCGATATTCAAAGCCAATGAAGCTGTTCTTAAGGTAGAGAGACATCACGGCCTATACACAGTCATCTACAACCCGAACCACCGAGCAGCGTTTTCCGTACGGCATTCGGAGAAGCCTCACCTCTCAGCAGCTTCAGCGAGGCGCTGGCATCGTCGGTTGGGCCACGCCTTTGACCAGAAGATTGAGAAGCTGCCGGAGATGGTTGATGGGGTCAAAATTGATAGAATCTGCGAAGATAATCATCACGATAATCCCGAGAAATGCGAAGTCTGTCAGCTAACAAAGTCTAAACGCCAAATCTCTCGAAGGACAACTGGCACACCGTACGGCAAGTATGGTCGTATCCACTTCGATCTCGTTCAAATTGACCCAGGGTATAACGGAGATCGCTGGATGACACACTTCTACCTCGAAGGCGTACGCCTCCACGCGGCCTATACCCATGAGAAGAAGAACGGCTGTCAAGATGCGGTTAGTCAGTTCGTCGCACTAGCTAAGAAGCAGTGGAATCTTCCGATACGTGCCTTCCGATATGATAACGAACGCTCTGCTGGGCGTACGGTGGAAGATTTCTTGTCAAATGAAGGCTTTATCATTGAGCATAGTGTAGTGGGCACCCCGGAACAGAACGGCTTCGCGGAGCGATCTGGGGGGGTGATAATCACCGTGGCTCGTACTCTAATAGCCGATGCAGGCCTCCCTAAGAATCTATGGCCTGAAGCTGTTAGAGCTGCTGTATGGATCATCAACAGATCGCCCACGAAGCTACCAGACGGCCGGTGGATAGTCCCTTACCAAGAGGCATTCTTCAATCAGCCACAACAGCGTGTCAACCTCGCAAACTTGAGGATCTTCGGTTGCCGAGCGTACGTGCGGAAGCAGGCTATTCCGAACGCCGCGAAGATGGAGCCACGCGCCGAGATAGGCTATCTCGTTGGCTATGAAGCCTCGAACATCTGGAGGGTGTGGTTTCCCCGCAGAGAAGCTGTACGATCAGTGCGAGATGTTGTTTTTGATGAGAACGTGTTCTTCAATGCTCGAGAGCTAGAGAAGGAGCCGGTCCGCGATATATTGGAGACCATGCCATGGGCTATTGGAGACGAGGATACTGACCAGGGCACCACTGAAATAAGCCTGGATATACCTCAACCAGTTGGAAACATCGCGGACTCACAGGGAACAGAGCCACAGAGCTTGACTAAGCCTTCCAAAGAGAAAATAGCCCCTTCGCAGCCAGCGGAGCCTCAGCAGATGATATCACCGTCGCCCACGCCGTCCGTTCAGCCAGTGCAGACCTCAAATCCTCGCACGGCACCAGAATCAATCCCAGGAGCCTTCCCGGCACCACCAGACCATGATTCTCAAGATCAACTCGCTGAACAGCTTCAGAGAGAGCTCTCGGCAGCCACACTTACCCGAGAGACTCGTACTGCGCCCAGGGATATAGTGGGAGATGTTTCGTCTCGCAACATCGTGTCGGGCTCACGCAAGCGAAGATCTAGAGATATCAGCAATTTAGCCTTCTCAGCGGACGACGAGGAAAATGAAGAGGGGGTACTCGCTGCCTTTGCAACCGGCCTCAATGGATCTCATTCACATACAAGAACACACCGCGATGAGCTACCTTCGGAGCCTCAGAATTGGCGAGAGATGATGAATCATCCATTCAACGAAGGCTTCTTAGCAGCTGCTGGCCTCGAGGTCAAAACAATTGAACGGAAGGGCACTTTTGAGGTCATACAGCGTCCGAACGACCGCAGCGTGCAGGTGCTCCCACTAAAGTGGGTCTTTAACTATAAGTTCGATAGTGATGGATATCTGGTGAAGCTGAAGGCGAGAATCTGTGTCCGAGGAGATCTTCAGAAGCTTTCTACGGAAGAAAAGTATTCAGCTACCCTCGCTGCCCGTACGGCCCGCGCCGTTCTCGCTCTGGTCGCTGCGTTTGACCTCGATACACACCAATTTGATGCTGTCAACGCCTTCCTTAACAGCACACTGGATGAAACAGTGATAACGGAGATGCCCGAGGGGTTTAGGCAGTCTGGATATTGCTGGAAGCTCCTCAGAGCTCTCTACGGCCTACGGAAATCCCCAAGGCTCTGGCAACGTGAGGCCACAAAGGTCTTGACTAAGCTAGGTCTCACAGTCGTTCAAGAAGATCTTTGTCTCTTCGCATCGGACGGCATCATCGTATTCTTCTATGTAGACGATATAATCATCGTCAATCACCCATCTCAGCGCCAGCGCGCGGCTGAGATCAAAGAGAAACTTAACAGCACATGGGAATTGAGAGACATGGGCGAAGCTGCGTGGTTCCTAGGGATCCGTATTGTCCGTGACAGACAGCAGATGGCCCTCTGGCTCTGTCAGGACTCATACATCTCCTCTATGGCAAGCAGATATCACCTGACCACCCATCGTCGCTTTGATACACCCCAGGCACCAGCTACGTTGAAGCCGTACGCTGGGCAGGCCACAAAGGAACAAATTCATGAGTACCAGGAGAAGGTGGGTTCCACACAGTATGCTACTACCATCACACGGCCAGATGCAGCCAAAGCCGCCTCCACGTTAGCTCAGTTCCTCACGAACCCGGGACCGGAGCATCTCGAAGCGATCAACCGCGTGATATCCTACTTATACCACACACGTTTCCTCGCTCTCACCTATCGGCCGCGCCGATCCGATGATGATGAAGCCGTCACTTTCTTTAGTGATGCCTCGTTCGCCGATAACCCGGATCGGAAGAGCTCGGAGGGATATCTCTGCACAATCTTTGGCGGACCTGTTGACTGGAGGGCTGGTAAACAGCGTACGGTGACCACTAGTACTACCGAAGCGGAGCTGCTAGCGATCTCCGAGGCTGCGAGGACCATGAGCATGTGGAAACGTCTCTTTGAAGCTATTCGCTTTGATCCAAAGCACGAACTTGCTATCCGGTGCGATAACCAACAGACGATTCGGCTTCTCATCAAGGAAGCTCCTCAGCTGCGGACAAAGCTACGTCACGTTGATATCCACCACCATTGGCTCCGTCAGGAGGTCCAAGCAGGCAGGATTCTCATCAGATGGACCGAAACGAAAAGTATGGCTGCGGACGGACTCACTAAGCTACTGCCGCGCCAGAAGCACACAGAATTTATCCAATTGATGGGCATGGAGGATATTGGAAATCTGCTAGATTAGCAGAGGTTGTTGGGAATTGTGCAAACGCTGAGGGGGTGTGACGAACTGAGAGAGTGGTCAAATACCACTAGGACCCTTTGGGACGCTTATTCATCGATCACCCAATTCCCACTAGTATTTGTACGGTATTCCGGGCAGATTCGGAAGGACGGTGTTGTAACACGCCGAAGCTTATTTGTATAGACCCCTGAGATCGTTCAACCGATCTTTAAACACCTACAATCAATCACCTGATTCTATTGGACATGTTCAGTACCAGCCAGTACATCAATTCCTCATCCTGACAAAATCGACCACTAAGCGCATTTCGGTAATACGATAACCGCTGTACCGGACAAAGTATTAATGCGGAGAAATTTCATAATATGAATAATATGAATGCGAATATGAATAATGCGTTTATTCGCGCGAATAAAAAATTCATATATTCATATTCGCGGACTGCGAATATGATTATGTTGTATATTCGCATTCCTTTATTCCTTTCGGAACCCTAGTCTCTGATATTGTGAGTGACCATCGCTTGCGCCAGGCTATGTCGGTTTTGTGCTCGCTCTTGTGCTTCAAAACATGCGCGTCATGACTGATTTTCATTTTTCAATATAGGAGCCCATCATCACCCGCCAAACAGCCTTTGGGTGGCCCTTATCGACGGATCGGAGATAAGACCAAAGGGCATTACGACGCGTGCTACATAGGGTTTTCGCCCTCACCGCCTTCAATCCATGGATGGCCGAGTTTCTG